CGATTTCGATCCCCCGACTGTCAGCCCATCCATCTGACCAGCCGACAATTGAACATATTTCGCTGACATTTTAATTAATTTGACACTCGGTCCGGAGGTTTTCGCTTCGGTTTTCTTTTTTTTCCCGTTTCTGTTTTGTTTTTTTGTTGTTGTCCATGGGGTTTTGTTTTGGACGGAGGAGGATTACGCGGCATTTGCCGGTTTTTGCCAGTTGCAACATTTAATAAAACTTAATCACCAAATTAAATGACAACGGTGGCGGCAGTTTTTGTAAGGGTTTTATCCGGCCAACAGAGTGAAATTGATTAAACTAAAAGAAGGAGAAGTGAACTATTCCAGCAAACAATTTAATCATTTTATATTTAATGCTTTCTCTTAATTTAAAACTTTGTTATGACTTGGAGTTGTATGCTAATAAGCTAAGTATTAGTAAGTATAAATTATATTACTAGTTCTTAAGTTCTGTAGAGCTACCTGAATATTATTTTAGCTTTGGACAGCAGTCTTAAGCCTTTAAACTATTATATTAAATTTAAGTATAAATATATAAGTATTATTTTATTATTATTATTTTATTTTATTTGGTTCATTCTATTGTACCAATACTGTAAAAGCATTTATATACTTGTCAGTTGAACCACTATATGTTGACCAAAAAACCCCAATACCTTCACTGATTTTTCTTCGATTTGAATGTTTTGAAACTTCCCTAATCGCCCCGCCCCCGTAACTCTCGTTCTTCCAATTTCGGTGAGGCGCGTCCGAAGTCAGCTAATTAAAACTAAACCCTTTTGCTCGGTACCCACCCACCGAAATCGGGGATCTGGACTCTGGATTTAGGATGTGGACTTCGGGCGAAGGACCCGCGTTAATTGCCAGAGTTTAGGGACATGTAGAGCCGAGCGGAACCAAAGTAAGCCACACTTTCCGGAAAGCCGGACTAGCGGCATCGATCCTTGGGAGCGAAAGTCGGAGTCAAAGGATTAGGGATGCGGAATCCGAAATCCGGGGATCACTGAGCGAAAGGGGTGCGGCTGTGTTTTCAAAATACTCGTCAACAAATTGCCAAAGTGCACACACGATATGCCGAGGACGAGGACGAAAGGGGCAACGCCCAGGATTTTCCCTATCGACATATCCTTTTTTCGATTTTCGTGTGGGCGAAGTGTCCTTGCTCGCGACCGCGGGGGCTGCCTTAATTGCCTGCAACTAATTATGAATAGCGGCCAGAGTGGCAAAAGGAGTGAGAACCTGGAACGGGAACGGGAAAAAGGGAAAGGACCGCCGAAAAATCAGGACGAAAAGGAGTACACACTACTGTTTGTCCTTGCCGCGATTGTCGTCATTGTTGTTTGCAATTGTCATCTTTATAGATGATGCCATTGTCCCTCGGCCGCCGGCACCCGTAAAATTCGGCCGGATTAGTGGCATACAGCTAGCGAAAGGATTTAAACGAAATTAGACGGCAGGTAGCTAGTCCTGCCAAATCGTAAAAGTTCCGAATTCCACACCGAACTCCTTGGTGGAGCTCTCGACTCAAAGGCCTAATTGAAATTAATTATGCGGGGACCCTTAAGTGTGCGACCTGTTCAATTATGCAAGCGGCAACTTTAAGAAGTTTTTCACACCCTCTTTTTTGTCGTCGCACTGGCGACAGATTCTCATAATTAATGCAGGCGATAAGTAAAAAGAAAGGGTTATGCAAATTAAGTGACAGAGTCGCACGAGGAAATACCCTTTGGATCAATTATTTTATATTTCAATTTACCTTGGAATTTCGTTCAAATTTTTTAAAGAATTGTTTTAAAATTAGCTATACATTGAGTTAGTTTTTTAAAAAAATGTTTCTTTGTTGTTCTACATAAATTATAATATACTTAAATACTTTTTTTTACCAAAAAAATAAAAATGAATTTAATATTATTGACCTAGCTTTATTGAACATTTCAGTTAATAAAAAAAATGCCAGGCAGTGAATTTAATTTGTCAAGCTAACCCATAAATGAGACATTGCGACTCCCACAGAAAATCAGAATATATTGCTAGGGTATCAAAAATCCAGACAAGGTTTCCCCACCTCTTAACCCGTTTTTTTCGGGGGTGTCGTGGGATTTTCAAGGACAGCTCGAACCGCATTACGAACCTTAATGTCAGGACTCTGCATTTTTTTTCCTTTTGGCTCATAAAACGGCGCTTAATGCGACTCTTGTCAATAATCAATTTTCGCTGAGCCGCCTCGCCTAATAATGCCAATTTATTTTCATGGCTGGAAAAAAGCGCAGAAAAACCGAAGCACCACCCAGAAAAGGGGTTGCAAAAGGGGTTTTGTGAGGCATACACACACGTGAGCGGAAAATGCCGGCAATTTATCTGTTTGATTTTCAGATATGCCAAGTCTAAGTCGTGGAAAAATCGTTCAAGATAACCGGAGCGACATCCGTATGGGAATCAGTCAGGGATATGGCGTGTGACAATATATATACATGTGCTATGGTTCTCAGTTCCCTTAAATCCACATCTAAATCAGCCAAATGACTGCATTAAAGAAGAAAAATAAAGCATATCAATGGAGAGCTAAAGCAGATATTTATAAATAATAATAAAGTTTAGGAACATGCTTTACATATCCTCCATGAAATTTATTTACATTTATATGTCATTCATACAAAAATAGCTATTCATATCCTTTATAAACTTTAAATAATTCAAGTTGGCGTGGAAAATTACTGTTTTTATTATCTAGTATTTTTAAGGATTTGTTTTATTTCTTTTTGAGATTTCTCTGCATTTGTCCAGACTTTTGCTGTTTTTAAAGGGACAGATATTTATGAATAAAAGTTAGGTTCAACCAAATTAATTTTACGTTTTCTTGATGGTATTTTATTATGTTTATATGCCGAAATAGCCATTCAAATTTTTTTTTAAACGATAAATAAATAACGTTTGTCAATGAAAATTGTAACTTTTTTAGGGTTTTGTTTTATGCCTCTTTGTGATTTTTTCTGTATTTTCCTTGACTTTTGCGAGTGCATTTCGAGTGTTTCTTGACTTCCAAAGGAGCCCATTCATGAAAAAGAGACATCTTCATCGGCAGATGCCACCCAAATTGGCCAAACTCTTTTGTGGCCGAGTTGGCCATTAACTAATGGTCAGAATCGAGGACAAAGCCAACGCAGGTGGCCCTGCACTTCGGGACCTTCGAGTGTTTCTGGCCGAGAATGAATGCCAGATATTTTGGTGCACTTTCCAAAGGCCACACACACAACACACAGCGCACACCACACACCTCACCTAATGACAACAATTAGGGCAGCAGGAATTCGCTCGGTGACTAAACAAGATTTCCCCAGGACTTCGGCAGGACACTCGACGACATAATCAGGCAGCGGCAGCCAACTGCCACGTGGGGTGTCCAAAGGAACGGGAACGGGAACGGGATCAGGATCACCAGGACATGCGTGCACAAATGGCGCAAAAATTGCAGACACTTCAATTATGAGTTGGGTAAATATTTTTGTGCAAACAACGCAACAGGATATCAATTCAGTGAGGCATTATCGAAATCAGCCCATGTGCAATGTGAATAACTCAATTTGACACAAAAGTCAATGGATGAGCAGAGCTGCGAATCGGAATCCAAGGAAGCCACCCCGGAAGCCAAGGAAAACAGAAAGGAACTCGAGGACCCCGCATTGTTTTGCCAGATCAACGGGGAACCCGGCACATACATATATATATACCTATATATTCATTTTGCGAATTTTCACTAAGGTCACTGGCAAAAATAGATGTCCTTTTTAAATTGTTAGTACTACCATGAATGTTTTTATACGATGTATAAGCCACACAACATTTTTTTTGAATATAGTTATTAGATATTCAGTTTATCTAAAAGATTTAAGGAGTTTTAAGCACGCATATTTAATTATCTACAAGCTTTTATAAGCAAAACTTAATTTATTAAGATTTGTATATAAAATTATGGTATAAAAACCAACTTCATTTACTAAATAATAATGTATAAGTGTTTTATATTTTATTTCAAGTACTTATATACTTTTTAAATAGTAACATCACAATTTAACCAAACATAGATTTCAATCATACAAATAGAAAGGTATTGCAGCCATACAATCATACTGAAGGCTCGTTATTGGATCAACAAACATTTACTCTATTACAATTGATATTTGATATTATTTTTGTTCGCAAATTTGTTTCACTTTCGACCCGGTCTTTATTTTTTGCGCACACTTTTCCGGGCAGCTGTTGTTGGGCCTTCTGCCTGGATTTACGGCTAAGGATCCTTGGGATCTTAGTCTCGGATTGCGTAAGCCATAAAAATCCAGGCCAGGACTTCTGCGAACGAGGATCCTCGCGTGTCAGCCTAAAAAACTGGAACTGCACGCAACTGGAGGAAAAAATGAACACAAAAAAGTGACGCACAAAAAGGATATATCCACGCGTCATAAAAAGGCCACGAAAAATTCCAGCGAAATATTGAAAAACTCGAGACAACATTACGCAAAACGCAATCGGCGAACCGAGACCCTAAATCAAATAATAAAAAATTGCCGCGAACAAACAAAAAAAATAACGAAACTTGCCTTGGTTACGGTGAGTCTTGAGTTCAGTTTTTTAGTTCTGTAGCTCAGTTTTTTTTTTTCAGCGAAAAAAAATCACAGAAAAAAACACAAATATTTTATGACTTTGGGATAAGAATTTATGGCCCAGGACTAGATGATGTAACCGTAGGATCCTCAGCGAAAATCGCGAGTAGTAAAATTTGCGACTGCTAATGAGGTGATGCATGGAAAAGAGAGGGGAGATTATAAGGATATTACCAGGGATTACAAGAAAAAGTGTAAAATGGTTGGCAATCATATTTTAAACATATTTAGTTATGAATTATATTAGCAACCCTAACAAACAGAAAGTTACCCGAAAAAGAAATCAAGAAACCATTGACTTTTCGATCATTTATTTTAAATCGTAGAGTAGAACTTTTTTCCAGTCTAGTAACAAGTATTCGGAAATTTCTTAAACCAAAAATTCTCAATCTGTTGTTTTATATTCTTCTATAAAATGTTCCGTCGAGGATTAAAAGAATTAAGTGAGTACCCAAAGTGTTATGTGCTTGTTGCTTTACACATTTGTATTTATTTATTTATTTATAATAAATGATTTACACATAATTCGTATTAGTTGTATAAAAATTAATAAACAAGAAAGTTAATATTATATTAGATGAATTGCCAAAGGTATTTCAGCAATGTCCTCAAACAAAAAAAGGAGCGAACTTCGGCAAGCCGATTTTTATACACCATTGCAGCTATTACAAGAAGGACATTTATAGGTGTATTTTTTTAGACACATTGTTCAACGCCAACTGTTTTAATTTTTTTTAATATTTAGAATAATAAATTCATATTAATGTAGAATTACTTATTCATGTGGGCAGCCTTTCATGTTTGTAATAAACATCTTTGTTTTTTAATTAATTTTTTTAGATTTTTATTTTTATTCGGTTCCTAATGAAATACTTATTGTAATTTGTATTATCCAGAAACCCGTCCGTTCGCGGAGGTGTGTAGTTTTCTATTGCGAAACTTTTCGGGAAATTCCCGCAGAAAGCTGAAGTTCGTGAAGCGCGAGACTGTGGCTCCCAGAAGCAATATCTTTAATTGGCCAACACTCCAGAGGATTCCCAATGATAAAGATGTCGATGAGAAGGATGAGAAGCGTTATTCCACATTCAAGGTGGAAAATAGTCGTGCCCAGGAAATGTGGCAGAAGGCCAGGATTGGGGCACGAGAGCAGGTGCGTAAAAACGGGCGATTAAGTACCCACAAAATATCCAATTCAATGAACTTCCAGCAGAATAGCCTCCGTGGTTATCAGCCAGCCAATTCCGACGTAACCTCCGACTCGGAGGAAATCATCAGTGCCCTGGACAAAGTCAGGCGGATCGAGGAGCGGCGCAAGATTCAGAACAAGATGCAGACTCTCATGCAGGAGCAGGAAAAGCTGGACAAGCAGATCCAGGACGAACAGGATCGCGTGGCTCCCAGGAAGGAGGTGCTCGTCGAGAGGGAACCAGCCAAGCAGGACCCTCCCAGGGAGTACGCCCCTGTCCGGAATCCGGACAGCTTCCGCTCAGGTCCTTGGATATCCGCCACGGTCTTGGCGGCCACAGGGAACAGCCAGCAACTCAGGTACACGCCCAAACCATTCAGGACGCACAGCCAAAGTGGCCAGGTGAGCATCTAAGCATTCCAAATACTATTAGGTATTGCCAAAAACAGTATCGGTGTTTAAAATAATCCTAGAATAGGTGTCTGCTATCAAAAATGCAAGCAAACATGTTTGAAATTGGGAAAAAGTTTTTAACTGCACCTTAGCTTATTGCTAATAATCAATAGAAATTTTAATTGCAAATTTTTTTATAATTTTGGTCAAAATTTTTGATCAAAAAACTTAAAAATCAAATTATTTTCTTTCGGATTTTGGCAAAAAATAAAATCGTTTAGCTGAGAATGCCACTTGATTGGAAATTTGATAAAGAATTCATGGAGATATGTCATTCCAACATAAGACAATTCCTAGGGTTTTGATCGAAAAATCGAGTTGATATTTTCCCGATTTTGGCCAAAATATATTTTTCCGAGCTAGCCATGTTAGTATGTCCGTCTGTCTATGTTAAAGGTATATAGATGAAACTTGCCCAAAAATCCTATTTCTATTGCAGATAGTAAATAAGTCGGTATACGACTTTATCATATAGCTACCATAGTAGCAATCAGAAATCGAAATTTAGAATTTTAATTTTTTGTAACATCTGCAAGGGTATTTTTTCCTACTTATATTTCAAAATATAGTTATTTTTAAAAAAATGTCTACTCTGAATTTCAGGCCGTGTCGCCACCGCAGAGCTCGTCTCTCCCGGAAAAATCGGCATCCAGGCAGCCAGAACACAAATTGGACGAAGCCAGTGCGAACAAGGCCCAGTCCGAGATCCAGGCATTCGCCAAGTCCGTGGTGGAACTGCACAAGAGCCGTGCCGAGGAGATGGACAAGCTCCGATCGGAGAACGAATACTCCAAGGATTCGGCCTGCCTGAAGATGTGTGACCACTCCGTGTTCGGGAAAAGAGGAAAGCGCTAGCCAAAAACAAGAAAAACATCAATCAAATCAGTAGTTCTGTAATATCGCAACATAACCGGACAACTTTTGGCAAGGAGACGTATTGAAGAGCTCTGCTTAAAACCGTATGGCTTTCAGGATTCGGGCGGCATTTCATATAAATCCTGATCGGCAGCAGAGTTCTTTTTTTTGTCGAGAACCTGCTAATATTGTTATGCACGGCATCACAGGATTCTAATTTTATTTATCATACTTAAAACCCTTTCGGAAAGATCAACAAAATTCTATTTTAAATCACATCCTCAGATGTGCAAATGCATGTAGTTTGATGTAGGTTTTACAAGCAATATATTTGGATCTAATCTACTAACATTAAAAAAAAATATTAAAACAAAAAATTATTTTGCTGTTTATCTATTTATTAACAGATTCCTTTAAGATATACTATATCAGAATTACGCTTTTACAATTGTCTAAATCGGATAGAAACAACAATGCCATAGAAGCGATGCCAAAATGCAGCGCAAAATAGACATAGCGTCGTGTTTTTAGTAATATAGGCAACAAGAAGTGTCATATCTCTTAAGTACTTGTGATTCAACTTTTTAACCATTTTCATGTCAGTTATTTCTAGTTTTCCGATGTCTTGTAATACAGTGTCTCAAAATGTGATTTCTAGAGTCCATAACTTCACCAAATTTAAGCCGATTCCAAAGTGGCATACCTCTAAAGACTTGTGATTCGACTCTCTGAAAAACTGCATTCAAAATTTTCAATTTAACGTTGATCAAATTTTTGACGCATTTTCATGTCAGTTATTTCTCATTTTCCGATGTCTTGTAATACAGTGTCTCAAAATTTGACTTCTAGAGTCCATAACTTCACCAAATTTAAACCGATTTCAAAGTGGAATACCTCTAAAGACTTGTGATTCGACTCTCTGAAAAACTGCATTCAAAATTTTCAATTTAACGTTGATCAAATTTTTGACCCATTTTCATGTCAGTTATTTCTCATTTTCCGATGTCGTGCAATACAGTGACCCAAAATGGGTCTTTGAGAGTCCTAACTTTTCTAAATTCAAGCCGATTCCAAAGTGGCATACCTCTAAAGACTTGTGGTTTAATTATCAACAAATCTGCATTTAAATTTTTATAACTTTACCAAATTAAAAGCGATTCCAAAAACTTGATTCGATTCTCTAAAAATCTTCTGGCTTCCTTTCTTTTTTTTTATAATATTACATTTAAGTATGCAACCACCAATAAAATAAAACTAAAAGAATTCACATAATTGATGGTTTTAGGTCTGGGCAATATATTTAAAAAACGTTACAAAGTTACAAACATTCACGCTTTCCTTTGCCATTTAACCACCTTTTAAAAGAGATTCCAAATAGTTGATATGTAAGCCTTATTTGTGAGACTGCTGATTATTTTCGTTTAGTCCGAGGGGTCGGGTAAAAATAATTTGGTTAATCGCTCGGTTATTGCGCATACACCCTGCTCTGGTGATTTTACAGCCTTAAGACCGAGGAGATCTGCAAGATATAATTGGGATTAGTTATATTCTTAATTTATAAAATAATAAGAATAATAAATAATTTAAGATCATTTATTGTTTAAAAGGTATGGGAATTTACCGACTGTCTGGGACAAACGCTGCTGAGAAGGAACATTCCTCAATCGCGCACTCTTGTATAATTTTCGGGCACTCTTGGCCAAATCGGTCATTGATTTGCCATACCGAAGGTATGCCGCCTTCACCTCGTTTCTAGAAGACTCCGGAACATTGCGGCTGACGAGACTCACGGCGGTGGGCAGGCGATCCCCCGCCTTAAGGCCACGCCCACTGCCCCTCCCACTGTCATCAGCCGTCCCCACCGCCCCCTCTTCGGGGGCATTGCGTTCCAGAGTTTTACGAGTGGACAGGGCCTGCATGGCCAGGATATTGCGCCTAGTGCTGTAGGAACAAACTGAAAGAAAACCAATAAAACCATTAAGATTCATTTTTAAAGTGAAAAAAGAGTTTTTTTGACAACAAAACGATAAACCTCAATTACGATTATGTCTTTCAAACATTAAACTAAAATTAATTATATACCTAACAAACATATTAAAAACGATAACGATTACATCTGTCAAAGATTTTATTAAATTAATACCATCTTTTATTTTATAAAATTAGACCGTAAATACACCTAAAAAGCCTTTTAGAGCGCAGAATTGCACTTAGAACTGGTTTGGTACACCGAATAACCCGAAGAATGTACACGATTTCCATAATGTCTGTCAAAGATGGCATTAAATGAAGACCGAACCGAAGAAGCGAGTAATAATATGTTTTCAAACACCGAACTGCTGGTTAAACTCACCTTGTTGCACGCAACGCGTTACATTGATCAAACATCTGCACATTTTCTTCTGGGGCTGCATCGTTTACTCTTAACAATTTTCAATAAAAATTTGGTATACTATAAAGCTGACTGTAATTTTTTTTTTTTTTTGTTTTCTGATCTGACTCTGCTAGCGACTAAAAACGTAATGAAATAGACCCAACAAAAAAGGGAAGTCAAACCGTCTAGGAAACCAGAGGCTTCTACGATCCAAAAAAAAATATCATAGGAAAATCAAAAGCCAAACAGAGTGCTTGGATTATACAATTTTTGGAATTAATAATAAAAAACAGACAAATCCGTATATTAAGATACTAAATAAAAATATATATGTTCTTGTGATTTATTAACCTAATATTAAAGTTTAAAAGATGAAGATGAAATTGTGGTATATTTTTATAAATGTGTGTGAAAATATTTATTCAAAGAAGCCATTATAAAAGAAGAAAACTTAATTTAACCATTCTATAAATGTTTAAATTGCCACACCGACTGAAATTGGAATATCTCACTCAAGTGATCTCGCTGTCCGATTCCGATTTACTAAGGTCTAGTGCCGATTGACACAGCTCTCGATGACCTTCCAAATGGGTGTGGATATGGGGAACTACCCCTAAATTGGGACCAGAGCCATATAATTAGTGTAATTACCTCAACAGCCTACTAAATTCGAGAAAAATGCAAACAAAAATTAAGAAATCACAACATTTATATCCCCCTGTCAACGAGCCCCGTTCGCTCGATGCCGTGTGCGATGCCAAAGGACAAAGGAGTCCTTTTGGTCCTTTGGCATTGAGTCCCTTGTGCGGGGACCGAACAATCGATGCCATCTAATGACAGGGTGGATTGCAGTTTTTCGTTTTAATTCCAGTGCGAACTTCTGTTCGCTCCCTCTCCCAAAAAAAAAAAAATATAAATGTTTAAAGTCTGCTTTGCAACTTTGCAGTTGCATTGTCAGGACCTCGGGATCGCTGGTTATAAATTACGTTTGGCGGGCAACTTCCTTTCGGGATTCTGGTTTTTGTTTTTGTTTTTGTTCCACCCTTCTAGTCTCCTGATGATTGGCAAAAAATACAAGCAGAAAAGCGAAGGATGCATATGAAAACGGAGTCATTAGTGCCGTGGTCACTGCGAAAGTGCCAATCATGCTGAGGTACAAATGTCCTGCCATGTCCTTTCGCCCAGTTACACGGAATCCCGGGAGTCGGAGGAAATATTTTGGCTCAAACATAATTAACGCCTAATGAAAATATTTTGGGTCGGCAAACCTTTGAAGACGGCGGAACACACACGAAAACTATGGAGATTTGTTAACTGGAAAATTTGCAAAAAACCATAAAAAAAAGAATCGCTAATCATGCCGACAAACAGAAAAGTTATAAAAACAGGCGGGTCTGCGGAATATATACACCGTTAGCTATTCTTTATAACATAAAAGTGCAAATATTTATTATTTTTTAAATGGACAACTAAGAAAGGGAGACTCAATTGTTTGATTTGAGATTTTCCAATTAGTGTTTAAGTGTGCTTTAAATATAATAACTATTGATATGTAAAATAAAAAAATATTAAATTTCTAACCAATAAACTAAACAAAATGTATATGTTTACCACCTTCAAAAAACAATTTAAATCGTATGTAGACCTTAAATGATAAATTAAACAACATACAAAAAATAAACGGAAACAAGAATCATTTTATTGGATTGCCATGTTTTCAATTCCAATTGTGGAAACCAAGCATGCCTTGAGCTTTTTATTACTTTACTGTTTAAAAATAGCAAAAATAAGTCAAGATGATTAAAAAACAAACCAAATGGCTTACAACTTGCAGATTGCTTTTAATATTTATTACCCAATTTTTTTGGAGTTCGGGTATGTGCGATTAGATGAGCCAAAGTCCGACTCTTGTCCTAAGCTACAGTGCCTCCTAAGTTGGTCATTACACGACTAAGTAGCATCGAGAACACGCCACCCAAGATGGGATGACAGGAAAAGTCAGCGGGTGGGAGGGGGAAAATATATGGGAGGGGGGAGTGTTCTTTCGCTGGGCGTTGTCGACATTGTCATCAACACATAACTGTCAACTTTTACTATCGTTTCAGGGGTTGCTCTTCGAGATTTGTGGACCCGGTGGTTAAATTGAAACCCAGAAACGGTGGCGAAAAGGGGAGGGTTTTTCGACCCGCCGGCAAATGACCCAAAACTGAAAGAGACATCATCATTAGGGCATCACCAGCCATGAATATCCGTGGAGAAAATAATCATCAGCAGGGAAATGCATACAAAATGAAATTGAACAATGTTGTGTTTGTGTATATAGCATGGTATATATTTATATATTCCCATGGCCAACTGACATATTTTATGCATTTGGCATTTTGGCTGAAGTGGCGGAATCAAAGCGATTGTTCGCAGGGGCAAACATAAATAAGTAAATGGAGTGCTGCATAATTTATGCATTTAATGTAAACAGACAATTTGGCGCAGCTTTTTGAGTAGTAGTAGTAAGAATGGAGCCCCCAAGACATGTAACAAGGATATAAGGTTACGAGGGCGGTTCGATGAGTTGCGAACTATATTTAAGATATATTTTTAGATATAAATATAATTTCTTAGTTGGGATATTCCAGTTTAATGTATTATACACAGCTCTGTAATTCTATAAATTTTGTAAAGTTTCCAAAACTATTAAATCATTTTACTGATATTCTGTTTAACGGACAAGCGAAATCGATAAAAATAAATACCATATTAATATAATTAAGCTAATACATTCTTTTATTGGTAATTATTATCCTGAATTAAAGTAAAGTAAAGTATTCTCCTTAACGGACAAGCGAAATTGATAAAAATAAATACCAAATTGATATATTTAGGCTAATACATTCTTTTATTGGTAATTATTATCCTGAATTAAAGCAAAGTAACCAATCAAATCTTTAATTGACTTACTAATATTCGCCATAAACAATTAACATAAAGAATAATTTCTGAAATTAAAAGAAACCTAGTTGAAACTTCAATGACACCCCTCGCTAGCTTGCGTCCTTATTCAAAGATGATTTTTGCTGACAGCCAACAGTCAGCGCCGTGTCAGAAATCACAGGCCCAAAAAAAAGCACCCAACCAACGAATGGAATAAAGAAATGCAAACAAGGTCCTGGGTGGGGTACGAAAAATAAAAAAAAAATACATACAAGCCCAGGACGAAGGACGATGAGAGCCCAGGGAACAGGAGAGGACAGGCACTTGATGAGCAAATCAGGGCCATGGTTCATTGACGTAGCAAATTGGAACTTCCTCTGGGAGCGGCGATGAAAATAATGATGAGGACGAGGACGAGGAGGAAGAGTCCTCGAGGAAATCCCAAGTAGCGCCAGGTAAAAAGAGGCAAGCCAAGGCGGAAGTATCCGAGAGATACGCATGGTAATGTAACTGATAAACGAAGCGTAGAGAAGTGAGGCAGCTTCTTATGTTACACGACATTCCATTATCCATTCTCCAGCACCCATTATCCATATGGCCATCCATCCATCCCCTTCGAATTTAGATGCGAATCGGGAGGCACACAAGTTGCCGCATTCATTCATAAAAATCTGTCGCATCTTTTGTGCATCCCATGGATTGAGATTGAGATTGAGTCTGAGTTTGTTTACCTCACAGATACACAAATCGAGTTACAGATTGTGCGAAATGTGCGAAACGATCCGCCAGATGAGCTCGTAAAACGGATTCCGGCCACTTGTAAGGGAAAATAAAAATAAAAAACAAAAAGAAAGGCAGAGGAACTGAACATCAAAGCCCAGTGTCTAGATGCAGAAAATACACGCACTTTGTTGCAAAATAAAAAAGAATTCAAGAGTCCACGTCAAATTCCTTAATTATTCATGAGCAGATAAAAATAAATATAAATCTAACAATAAATGTAGCAAAAAGAAAAACTCAAGAACTGTTCAAATTTCCAAGCCAAAGTTTATATTCAAGTTATTTTGTAAGGTTAATACAGTTCTAAAAGATAAAAACTTAAAAAAAGTGAATGGCTGGATAGTTTTATTAATATATTTCCCACACCTTTGAAATTCTCTTAAATTGAGTCATAAACAATGAACCCTCATTAATAATCATAATTCCGATGGCGCTTAAAATTTGTTTGACAGTCCTAATTGGTTTTGTCTTTGCAGATCGATGAGGATCGTGAGGATCGATGCCAACTGGTGAATGGTGAAATGGTTAATAGTCAATGGTTAATGGATAATGGTTAACGGCTAATGGCAACTTCCGCCCGATCGACTGGACATGTGCATCCAGTGTTTTTCTCCCTTTTTATTTTGTATTTCAGTTCGAACTCCTCCGCAGTGTGTGAGCGAGTAATTTGGGCTCATTAAAATGGTTCCAAAGTGTCATTCCCCAAGAGGGCAAAACTCCGCGACATGTGGGAAATGAGCTATAAAAAATATATGTAGATGTATATATGTATATATCCACATGTGCAGGGGCCCAGGAAATCGAGAGACAATAGAATTGCGGCGGTAATTGTTGGCGTTGGTCATGGTGAACCGTAACAACAGCAACTGTCAGAGGGACCCGTCGGAAAAAACCCCGAAAAAGTTAGGGGAGTGGGAGCCGACAAGTGCAGGGCCGAAAAAGAACACGTGCGTGGGAGTAGGGGCTCTAATTGGGTCCAAAACCTACGGACTACATACAAAAAATATTTATTTCCTTATCTTGAGAAACACAGGAATCTTTAACTCATTTCTTAAGAGGTTACATGGGTCTTGCGGTCTGAATTAAAAAGAATTAAATTATACAAATATTTTTTGGCTTCACGATTAATGGTAAATGAGTTTGCAACGTTTTTTAAATGAACAATAATAAAAAAAAATAAAATAAGAATTTCTCGCGGAACTTTTACAAAGCTTAATTTGTTTCTCGCTGTTAAGCCATTCTAAATAAATATACTATTTGTTCAGTAAAGAAAATCAACAACTTTTAAAAGGCTTTAATTAATAGGCTATTCATATCAAATTAATCAGCCTACTACAAAGGTTTCTTGTAAGGCTACCACTCAAGATTTGTTTCTTTCTGTGCAGAGCAACATCTGGGCTATTGGTTCACCCTTTCGGGAATGGGAATGCAATGTTTGTTGTTCCTGGGATGTTTGCGTAGGTTTATGTAAATTAGCCCAGGTCGATGGGTCAGCGGAAGGTCGAGGGCGCAAATGATTCCCAGAAGGCAACAGCAACTGCAACTGCAACTGCAGAAGGAGGCTGAGTGCAACTCTTTCCCTTTTCATTCACTCGAAGCGAAAAACAAATTTTGTATACAGATTATACACTGGGCAAAAAAAAAAAAATTTTAAATATTAGAAATTAAATTTGGAACATAACAGATTTACTAAAATAAGTACCAACAAAAATGTAACATAGATAATTTATAAATATAATTTCGAATATAATTGACAGGCTTTGTATATTTGAAATGTAAAATTTATGCAAGGCAAGATAAGAATTTAAATTTATTCTTTGTTTCCCATTTCTATTTATGATTATAATTAAATAGGATTAATTTAGAATAAGACCCCGATGTTTACCCACATTCTAATAATTATAATTATGTATAATCTTAAAAAAAAGTATTATTTTACTAATGAATTAGAAATTCTCAACCTAATTCTCAAATATAGTGATGGTTTCGACTAATGAATTAATTTAATTTTATATTAATCTTCTTAAAAGACTGTAACATTTTTCTGCCCAGTGCAGTGCACTGCAATATTTGCTTTCGAAACTTTATGACATTACATTTTACAGGAGGCTGTAATAAAACCCTTTTAGCGGCGTGCGCGCAAGGACCAAAAACAAGAAAGGAATGCGGCTCGACGGCAAAGGATCAGATCGGAAAAGTGGAGAAGCGGAAAACAGACCACCCTGACGAGCCGGCCACTGTTGATTTTTCGCGGTCTAATAAAAACTGACCAGCGCAGTGGAAAAACGAGCGGGTTTTCCCCTCAAAGAGTTGCGCACGCACTCTTCCAAGGAAATCACGAAAACCCTTCGGTTTTCCGCTTGTTTTCCCTCCATTGGGTGTGAGCATTTGCATAACGCCGCCAACACCGACGTCGGTGTATCTACATATATGTTTTAAAAGAACATTAAAAGAGGAATTCAGTGCACGGTGAAAAAACATCACCCAAAATATCTCTACGAATCAGGTGATTTTTCAAAGAAAATTAATTCATTGCTAATTAAAAAATATTAAATAAAATGTTTGTATTAGAGTCTATTCCTTTTGGACATGTGAAAAATAGGAGAAAATATTTTTAAATATCTATTATAAATAAGTTTACTAATCAATGATAATTAATAATTTTCCTGTGCAAAAAAAAGTGTTGAGACTTGAGGAATTCTCAGTAAACCAATGACAATTGTCAAGTGTTTCATTTTCATCGGGTCCAGACGCTGGTTACCCAATTCCGTCGCTCAGACTTATGTTAATTTTAATTGGCCACAAATCAGCTATTTGCAACCGGTTTTCACACAAATATCGAAAGATCGTATGAGATTTGAACTTGAACTTTAAGCTTTGCGAGGAAACTGCAACTAGTTGGACCACGTGCGATGACTATATTTCTAGTTCGGCCTTATAATTTACTATTAGGTCTATTTTTCATTTCATTTCATTTTTGTAACCTTGATTTAAATGCACTAGTCACAAAAGATTTATACAAGTATTTTTTTTTCATGTTTACAGACTTTCAGAAAATCCTTATTTTATTTAAGACCATTTTCCCTTGTAATATCTCATTTAATTACAATGTTGAATGTGAGTTAATTTTTTTAAGTTTTAAAAATTATCGAAAATTGTACCCAAAATGATGCCTAAAAATTTTGGAGGCAAACATTTTGAAAGGTATGTATAGTACATTGATATTACAATTTATGGTTACTTCCCACAGCCACAATTTCGTAATTAAACTAAATTAATAATTGCCCAATAAATGCAATTTCACTTTCACAGTGAGCGTTTTTGTTGGTCCACTCTAATCATACTTGAACTGTAGACGTTCAGACAACTGAACTTTGCTTACGAAGCTCTCCCGTGGGCGATGACGATGACGTATCCGCCTGCCCCATCGGATCCGAGACCGAAATATGTGCGAAACCGAAACCGAATCCGAATCGAAATGATCAGGCCACCGGGCAAAGGCCTCCGAGGCCCGGCCGACTGATAAGTTATCAGCGGAACGGAACGGAACACCACGGACCCTCCCCCGTCGACCCCCTGTCAATAAATACTTAATAAAAGTTCGCCGAGGTGGCATGTGGAGAAAAAAGCCCAAGAAGTTTTTTACAGACAATGGGGGCACTGCCCCCGCTCAATGCGATAAAGCCTCACTTTTATTATACTTTTAGACTAGGGCCAAACAGGATAAAGCCGAGATAAGCCCCTGAAATTGGGTCAATGGGGCATGCGTAATATTATAAATGTTAATAATACACTAATTTAAATACTGTGTAAATTTAAATTATGTTATCAATCGTTTCCAAGGTAAATAAAAAGGCCAGAATTCAATTTTAAAAAAAACATTATCTAAAGCATTTTAATGGTTGCGAAATAATAAAGAAAAAAAAAAGCATCATGGTATTTAGCTCACTAGTTTAATAACAATTTAATACATTAAAAATGTTCGCTCTGAGATCGTTAAATTTTTTTTTCGATTTATAAATTATTAAGTAAAAAGAAAAGTGATTCATTATCTCCAGGGCAAAGCAGTATAGTTTTTAATTGCAAATAATTAAAACACTATCGCAAAAGCCTTGCGCTGTTTTTAATTTTGTTGGTTTTTACTAATAAGTTGCTTGCATAAGCTAATAGATGGCTTATTCAGGCTACTATTCTATTGAGCCCAGCCGTATAAACAAGCCATTCATCAAGATGAAGTAAGAACTCAACGGGATTGGTATTTAGAAAAAAAAAGATCGTAGCAAAGTTTATTTGAGGCAGGCCGAAGTATTTACAAGACGATGACGATGGGCGGCCCCGCTCCCGCCCCATAAAATAATGCTGCTGATTTCGGATGGCAAAGGGCGGATGGGATCGTTGGTGGCTATAAACAGTCGACCTTGAGGTAAATGCGTTGTTCGCTGGCCAGCAGCGCGAACTTGGCGTCGAATCGGATCCGCTCCACGGTGCGGTCGCAAATCTCGACGCGGTGGCGATGCAAGAAGAAGACGAGGCCCAGCTTTATCTGCAGCAGTCCGATTTGCATACCGATGCAGTTGTGCGGCCCCGCACCAAAGGGCAAGTATGACATGGGCGCCTGCAGCGGCTTGTTCGCCGCACTGAAGCGTTCCGGATCGAAGCGTTCCGGGTCCGGCCAGTACTGCAAAAAACAAGCACATTTTATTATTTATAATTATGACCGACACTCTTCATATATATATATATATATTTAGCTTTTACAGTCTAATCATATTTTGCGCCACTTTATTACACATAAAGGGAAGGGGTTTAATACAGGGACCGAAACATTAAAAAAATTATTATTATACATTTTTATTTTAAAAACCTTGAAGTAATCGTTATTTTAGATGTTTACTTACTATATACATATATCTCAAATAACTGTTAATAAAGTATTATTTTTATAAATCTTAGAACATCGTTAACATTGTTTTAAATCTCAAAATTATATTTGATTTTTATTTATAGAAATCTTAAATAACTATGATTTTAATAATAATAATAGCCAGCGGTCGTTAACGTCAAAGTTCTATGGTAGTTTTAAGAAAAGATACACTTCCCTTTATTATTAATTTTACAAATAAGCAAGTGTTAGCAAAAAGCCTCTGTAAATTTATCTGACTTTGAAAATCGTTAAACGACTAGAAATCCCACTCCGATACTCACCTTGGGATCGTGATGTATGGCCAGATTGGATATGAACACGGGCATTCCACGGCGGGCATAGCACTCCGCATGCGGCCTTAGCGAGTAGAATCGCTTCTTGTTGATCGGCGTGCACTCCCGCTCCAGAAGTGGGACAATCGGATACTTTCGCAGCGTTTCCTCCACGACCATGTCGAGGAACTTCATCCGGGCGAGGGCCTCGTAGGTCAGCTTCCCATTGGGATTGTCCGCGAAGGCTTCCCGTATTTCGCGACGCAAACGCGACTGCATCAGCGGCTGTTTGGCCAGCTCATAGAGGGCGAAGGACATGCTCGCCGAACAGGTTTCAATGCCCGCCACCTCAAAGGATGCCGCCTGGGCGGCCAAAAAGTCGCGATGATGCGTGAAATGCGACTTGTCCTGCTGCAGATCCGCCTCCTTCTTCAGCGTTAGCAGCATCTCGATGAGATCGTTGCGCAGATCGCCGCCACGCTCCCGCTCCTCGACCACCAGTTGGATCACTCGGCGCAGGAATTCCGCATGGGGCTCCGTAAAAAGTTTGGGCCGCAGCAACGGCACCAATTTTGGCAGGTAAAAGATCACAAACAAGTCGATTATTCGACGTACATTCGGCCTGAATAGATCCTGACAATGTGAACCGATCTCCGACTGCGTATTCCTCAGGCTATACGATCTCAGGCCGAAGGCGATGCTGGCTATCATATCGGTGTTATACAGATCGCACACATCCTTGATGCTCACAATTGCACCGCGTTCGGCGTCTCCACGCCGCAAATCTCGGGTCAGTCGCTTCAGATACCACTCCAAATCGCAGCCAATCTAATGATATAGAAAAGCAACAAAAAAAACAACAAAATATAGCATCTGTGAAGGCAAGTCGGAACCATACTTAGTCGTAAATCAATCCCAAAATAGAGCATCTGTGAGCTGGCATTGAAAATGAGCTATTTAACCCCTTAAATTAAATACCAAAATAGAGCATATGTCAAAATTGAGCTCGAATTGATCTAATTCTCTAATTTATAATTAGTATATCTCATGTTCTTAAAAAGAATACATAAACTGGCATCTATGAATGTTGTTTCGACAAACACTTAGCTAGCAGATTAAGCTTTGTCATGGGAATGGGAATTTGCATTATCAGAATGATTAGTCATTTTTGTTTTGTTTTACCAATCGTTTTGTGTTTGAGATATTTCGGTCTTGATTTGCATATAACTTTTGGTTTTAGTAGCCAACAAAGTATTGGTAAAATAGAAAAGCACCAATAGTTTGGAGTTATCATTTTTATGGTTTTCTTGGTAATGATGCGATAGTGGTTGACCTTTGATAAGATAGCCTGTCAAAAAAATAAGTTGGTAACAATAAACAAGTTATGTTAGATAAGACCGAAAAAGAAACACGCGTACTTTTAAGAGACTTTGTTTTATCATTCGAGTGAGCCCACACATATATATTCTACAAAAAAAAACAATGTCTATGAGATGATAGACTAATCGAAGACCAAGATTTCTTAAGGGTATATTTTGTAGACCAGTGTAACCACAATCGATTTGAAAATGTTTTATAAATAAAAGCAAATTTTAAAAAAATATCTAAAACAGTCATTATAAATAAGTTCCAAGAATTCTATGGAATCCCTAATATTCCTATTGATTATGTAAGATAAATATATGTATATTTAAAGAACAGAACAAACTAAATCGAAAGAAAAAAAAAACTAAAAAATAGTTAAGAGTAATAAAATGAATTTAACTTTAAAAAATATTTATAAATAGTTAAGTTATATAGATATAAAAACTGAACGTAAAAAATATTTTTGTGAAATTAGTGGTAGTACCCTAGATATGCTCAACCAATTCCTCAAAATATCTATATGCTTTGTAGCCGTGTGTAGGTGCTCGAAACATGTGACGTGGATCTTGGAACCGGCTGGGTGAATGGGTGACTCACCTCCTCCATCAGCGAGAACATCTGTTTGAGCTTGGCGCCGGCGAAGGCGGGTGCCAGCCTGGTGCGGATTTCGCGCCACTCGGGCTGTTTGGCCAGGAAGAGCGAAAGGGCTCCCATTTTATCGCTGCGCCCGTCGCACTTGGCGAACCGGTTCGAGAAGCTCACGAAATCCTCGACCAGGACCGTTCGCACCAGTTGGAGATCGCGGATGAGGAGGGCCGGCTGGTGGAACAGGTAGATGCCCACCACCGGCTCGTTGCGGAAGCGCTCGTCGAAGTAAAACCGGCGAAGCTGCAGGGCAAAGGACTCCTCCAGGCGAAGGACACGGCTCAGGTTACCCAACAGGTGGGTCGGCTGGACGAACTTCACCCGACGACGCTGCCAGTAGACATAGGTGCGACGGGACCAAATGAACACGCCCGTCAGGATCGTCACAATCGCCAAAAGGATGTTTGTGGAGTACACCATTTCTGCTTCGGGATCGGGTTCCGAGTTCGTGTCCACCGGCGGATATAACTTGCTATAGGGGTAGGCTAAAAGCTCTTTTATTTCCCCGATTTTGATGCTTTTATTTGATTGAGAAACTAAGGATTTTGAGTTTTTTTTTTAATTTGTTTTAATTTTTTAAATTTGGTTGATTGTTGTTTTTTTTTCTTTTAAGAAGTATTAGAGTTTAAAAAAAATTTTAATTTTGATTTTCTTTTATTAAGATCAATTAATTTATTTGTTTAATTTTAAGTGCAAGGTTTTTGGAAGTTCTTTTGATTTGTTTTGTCTTGAGCGATCCTTTAAATAAACCGTTTTAAATTATTTTGTTGGTTTTTTTAATTATTTAAGTGATTTTCTAATTTTTTAATTGATTTTGTTTATTAAGTAGCGATTTTTTTAAGTCCTTAAATTTGTTATAGTTTTCATTCAAACTTTAATTTATCTTGTGATGTATTTGTTTTCATTGTAGTTTTTTAACGTTTAGATTTCTTAATAAATTTATATACGTTTGACTTTTATTTCTCTTAAGATCCTTTACATTTTCTTTCTTCTTTTATTGCATTGAAGATCGTCCGGTTTCGCTTTCTTTATTTTTAAAAAATCTGCTTAGTTTTCGATGTCGATTCTTTTTCCACTTTTCTTGTATATTTTATTTACTCTACTTCCTTTTGTATAATTTTTAAAAATCTATTTAATCTAATCGCTTTGATAAAAATGCAAAATTTGCCGTTCTTTTTTTGGTTGTTGTTGATGCTTTTGTCTTTTGTTTTCTCTTCTGTGCTTTTCTTTTTGTTTTTGCCGTTACTTGTTGTTTTTCTTTGCCTTTTGTTTTTGTTTTTGCAGCTCCTTTTTGTTGCTCTCTTTGTTGTGGTTTGGTCAGCTATCCTCGTTTTCTCACTTTTCCTCGCCGTCGCGCGATTTATAAATAAATACTTAACAAATTATATCACATTTGAAACAACTACAAAAAAAAAGTGTGTACAAAAACACCAACAGACAAAAAATAAGAATTAAATGCACAAGAACGCGACGTCAAAACAAATGGAAGATGAACAAGAAGAAGAAAAAGCCACGCCGAACAAGAATAAAAAGAAGAAGAGGAACGGGAAAAAAGGGAAAAAGACCGAAAGCGCGAAGAAACCGAATTACAATTACAAGTTACGAATTACGAATTACAAACAATAAGTCTTAAAATTATAAATAAATTCGCTAGCTGGCCCATCAAGCGACGCGTTTTAACTGACGCGACGTCGATTTATTAACCGCAAATTTGCGTTTGCGGGAGGTGCAAACAAAAAAAACAAAAAGCGCGAGAGAGGGAGAGAGATCGAAAAGAAAAAACAAAAGTGAGAGAGCGCTTTTTTTCAAATTCTCTCAGAGAATTTTGTCCAGCTGTTTTGCGAAAAGGGAATATCGATAGCGCGACGGAAAGAAGCAGCACTGCAAAAGTCGGCGCCAAAATTCAAAAAGCTCTCTGAAGAACTATAAATTGATCTGATTTTTGAAAAAGTTTCTTATTATGAAAACTGGTAAGTTATTAGAATAGTCTTGTATTCAATGCTTGCATATTTTAAATGCAGATGTATCGGATTTTTTAATAGTTTTATAAAAGTATCAACGATTTTTGATCCCATTTTTTTATCCAGATTTAAATATAGATATCTTTGTGATGTTTGAACTATAAAATTACAATAAAATTTAACGTCATATTATTTTAATATTTGTTTTATCATATTTTACTAATATCTATATACCCAAGAGACAGCGATTATTTAATGGCTTAAATAACTTTTCCCCCTAATATCCGAAAAAAAGAAACACTTTGGGCAACAAATTGGCGCACAGAGGAAAAGGAAACTCCATTTACAACAATTGACAGAAATTTGCACTTGCTGCGGATGGAAAACTTTCACGTTCGCTCCGCGACCCCTTTTCCTCATTTTCCCCATTTCCCACTCGTCTTTCTCCTTCTGGAAAAGTGTGCTAAAGTTACAAATGTGCAACATTTCCGGTTGTTTGTATGTCGTCTACTTTTGGGACACCGAAAACTGTTGGCCACATTGATGGCTCACATCGGTGGGTTAAGGGGGCATCGTGGGGTTAAGTCTTGCTTTGATTAAATTTCACGCACGACCGCACGAATGAGGGTTTTTTTTTTCGCCAGCAAAAAAGGCAACTGATTTCCAGATTTTCCGGGCCTTACCTTTTCGGAAAATCACGCGTTGCAGTTCGATTTACATTTGATATTTCCCAAAGGTTTTCAGAGTGATTTCTGTATACTTTTATAATCGGCTTTATAAAACATTTAAGTATTTCTGGGAAGTACATTGAAGGGACTAAAGGTTTTACATTAAATATTATTTAATATATTAAACTATTATGCCAAAGGATTTTAATTAAGTTGTATGTATCTGTATTTAATTCCCTAATTCTCGACTATTTTTGACGAAGTTTAAAATGCTTATTATAGACTTAAAACCAACTGGCACATGTATTGTAATTCAATATCTATAAAAATTAGCCTTATTTTGCATCATGTAATGTGATTGTTATTAATATTATAGTTGATTAAATTGGGAAAAATAAAATTTAGACTGGGGTTACATTTAAGATCGACTTAAAAATAAAAGCGAAATTGCAGTCGCTGGCGGTGTGTCAATAATCGCCTGTGCTTATGCACACAACAGCTCTGCAAACACCAGCGCACTTGTCTTAACCCACCCACTACCTCTTAACCCATGACACCCCTCCCCTTTAAGGCCCGCCTCCCCTGCCCGCCCCCTCTACCACCCATCAAAATCAGCTCAGCGCAAATCAAAGCCGTCTCAATCAACAAACAAACAAACAAACAAATAGACAGGCAAACAGACAAACATTTGCGTGCGCATTTCAAGGCGGTGGGCGGTGGGCGTGGCAGGTTGGGATGTTCGGAGGGTGGCAAATTTGCTTTTGCTATTAGTTTTCGGCCTGCGACCTTGTTTTCATTCCATTTGCGCTGTTTGCATTCGAGATCTTTTAATTATTGTCACGCATCCACGCCTCCGGAAAAGTAGTTTTTCCCCCCTGATTTTCCACTTGTGGGAGTGGCGTCAGGTGGTGGGATTTCCATGCGGATTAATTTCGATATTTGGTCTGGGGAATTGTTCGATTTACCCTATCCCATTATGGCGAAGTTTCGCACTAGGTTTTATCTTAAACTGGACAATTTTGGGGTATTTAAATATATCATAACCATATAATTTGGTTTTATTTCTTTAAACTTTTCTTTCAAGATTTCCCAGATCTTACAAATTATACACATTTATACAATTAGAATAAAAAATACAACCAATCTTTTGTTCTTGATTACACCAAAGACTACACTTTTTAAAAGCATACTGCGCTATTTGTCAGGGATATATTAAATAAATATAAATATTGGATACAAATGGAATTTGTCTGAGACTTTCAATGTTTGTACACCCCTCCCATATTTGTTCAACCTTTGTAGTTTTGCATTATTTCTGTAAATATGCTTTGCATGCGTATATATCTCCAACGAGGTTTCCCAGATCTCCGCCTGAACGCCTCATTAGCCAAAGCAATTCCACACATCTAGGGGCCACCGTATTTGTATCTGTATCTGCAAGATACCGCCCTGCCCACATTCGACTTAAGATGCTGCACTGACCATCTAGCGAAGAACAAAAAAAAAAAGAAAGGAACCCACACACACATGGTCCAGTAATCGTAATCCCAGGGGTTAAGCCCCCCACTTTTTTTTTTGTTTTGAAGTTGCACCGCTTTTTATGGGATATGTGGCATATAGGAAGATCGAGATAAAGTGCGCAAAATAGATGCGTAATTTGACGTTAATGTTGCGCTAATAATAATCTGGAGAGGGCAGAGGAGGCAGCTGATCCCGCATCCTTCGGATACAGATACACATGTGTATATCTCGGCGATCGTGTAATGTGCTTAAGGACCTTTCCTCCCTTTCAGCTCGTTTCTAAGACGCATTGTTGTGTTTGCCATTTTGACGGGTTTCGATTACTCCTCGTTAACCCTCCCCAGTTCTCCTTGTTTCGACCCAGAAAGATACAGATACGGAGTATCTTTTTGTGCGCCCTTTCATGTGTGTAATCCACTCTGCTCGTTTTTGCTCAAAGTTAAATGATGCGCAGCTAAGTTGAGCAAATTTCCCTTACACTGTTTTGATTTTTTTTCGAGACAGACGGCTGATGAAAGTAAATTGCACAACAGGAAAATCGGAAAAGGGGCACTGGGCACAAAAAACAAACAAACAAATGGCAATGCCTTGAGATACCCTGAGTGTATTCTACTTTTTAGCCACTCTCATAAGTCGAAAATGATTTAATTTGAATGGCCTAGAAAATGTTATGATAATTAGGTAATAGGGATAAGTAAATATAGCCATACAAATTTGAATGTTTTTAAATCCAAATCAATTGAACCAAAAACTAGTTTAAAATAACTTATTTATTAAATATAAAAGTTAATATAAATAAGCCAAAATTAAGGAATATGGTACAAAATACCCTTTTCTCTGGGGTGACAGATGGGTGGTGTGATTTGACTGACTCTCTGCCGTTTTTTGTAGACCTTGACTGTGGCTCACTCAAAAACCTGGCCATAAAGTCAAACCCAACAAATGCAAAGTCAAAACGCAGCGGATGAAAATCATCTAAAGTACACAAGAAAAAATCCCAAAACATTAAAAAGAAGTTAGAGAAAGGATTCGCTTCTGCGAAATGCTAAAAATGTGAATCATAAAGTACATAAAAATAAACCCAGGAACTCGAAAAGAACTGCACTAGAAACCTACAAACCTAAATAGATAGATCGGGTCAAGTTCTGAGTAAAGAGTTGACCCATCTTAAAAAACATTCGAAAATCGCAGAAGCGGCACAAAAAACGACCGTAAAACGCGATTCCCGGTAGTTTAGGTAAAATGGTCAGCGAAACTTACCCGCCTTAACCCCTTTTCGCCAGTGCGAACAATTGTAATTGTATTTGTAGAGCGAAAAGGGGTTAAAAAAAAGGGGGCGAAAAAGCGAACACAGGCAAAAGGACCTTAGGTCGAGTCTGCAGCCTGTTTATATTTTATTACTGCTGTGTTATTGTGATGCCAATGCAAATTCACGGTTTTGTGGCGGTATGACACTACATCACTTAAACCTATACTTTGTTTTTTTTTCGGATTTACTTTCGAAGCTTAATTTGACTATATCACACTGATGGGATTTGCTTATATACTTATTAATTAAAGTGTGGTTAATTGCTTAAATAGTTTTTGTTCAATAAATAAATAAAACTATAGTAATTTAAAACCAAATTTGTATTAATTTAATGTTTAAAAATTTTAAGTAATTTTGCCAATACGAAGTAAAAAATTATATTTCAAAAATATTTTTAATATAAAATGGATATACTAAAAAAAATAAAGTTCAGTGTCATACACCCACATTACACACATTTCTTAACACCACTCTGTTATTTGGCCAACGGAAATCTCTGCTATCTGGTACATCCATTGCTCTGCTTAACCTTTTACCCTGCTGTTTTTTCGCTCTGCTTTTTTTTTTAGCTAGATCGTAAAGTAATAAAATCATAAAAAGACGACAACCGAACGAGACATAAATTAGAGATAAAGGAGTAAATGTGGAACGAGAACAGGACACGGTTTCGTTTTCATTTTCATTTTCGAGCAAAGGACGAAGG